CAGGCACTGGGTAGCCTCTGGCCATGAGACAACAGCAGTTATTTTGCAGAAGACAGTAATTATATCTGGACGTCTGAACATACAGTACATGGCTGGTCCATTGACTCACATGTCCAGTTCTCAGGTGTGTTGTATACACAGTTTGTACAGTTCAGTTTATAGAGAGAGAGTAGAAATGGCTCTGAATAATTGATTAGATAGAAGTAGAACAGAATAAATTGTGAGGTCTACATACACAAACTACCAGTATAACGTGACTGTCATCTCAGGCGGTTCAATTGAAAATTAATGAAAAAGCACACCAAGATGTCAAGCGGCAAACTTCATACACCACAGTGAAAATATATGAACTGACCTGGAATGCATGATGAGAAGAATTAGTTTGTGTATTCATAGTGTGTGATCTGTGACTGGGAGCATGTAATTGTATGCATGAAAAGGGACCTCTTTTTGCTCTTTGCAATTAATATTTTAATTTACATTGCCAGGTATCTTTTAAATACAAACAGTCAAAACTATTTCTCTAAATCTTGAGACTGTCACAAAAGCAGATTTCAACTGAACATGTTTTGTTTTGTTTTTTTCTTTTGTAGGATGCTTTAAGGAATGGACTCGTGACCACTGAGGTGCTGATGTGGTTCTACATTGGAGAGTGCATTGGCAAAGGAGGCATTGTTGGATATGATGTCTAACTATTGAACAGTTGTTTCTCCTTCTGAACTTACAGTTGTCACATTCTCAACCACCTGCACCAATTTTTCAAATAAACATGTCTGTAGTCATAAGTATACTATGGATGTCTTGTATATTAGAGTGAGTTGGGTTATACGTGTTTTTTTTTCTTTTAGAAAAGACTAAGAAAAATTGTAATAAACAAACAGAACAAAAAGACCTCATTATGGGAAAATACTAAACTTTGCAAGGGGTTTTGGAAAACATGCACACCTGAATGACAAAGATGTATAATTAGTCTTTTAAAAATGAGTAGTGTTCATTAAACAGAAACTGGATGCCAACAAAATATTTCGTCATTAAGCTGCATATTTGATACATTTTGCTGCTATGTGATGATAGACATCTCCTCTTGCTCTCGATTCTCTGACATTGTATTGATGACATTTCCCAAGTATCTGCAGAAAGCTTGCCTCACATCCTCGGGTTCCTCCTCCAGGTTTGAGTGAATAAGCGGCAGTCTGCTCAGATGTGAGCCTGCATCAAAAAGGATGAACATGTTAGCTGTGAAATGGCAGTAATAACTCATACAACAGGTCTTGGAGGTCTGCACATTACCTAAAGGCAGCTGTCCATCTTCTACAACACTGCCAGGCTTGTGGTGAGCTATGAGCAGACACTGATTGTCCTGCAAACCTTGGGAGGAGATGAACATCAAATGCCAGGTCTCTATTTCTTTGAGGTGGCTTGGAACATCTGGATTAAAAATGATCACCACACCGCTGGAGTCCTTCATGAGTGCAGGCCAGCATGATTCAAATCTATATAAAAAGAATATATTAACTATCTGGATCTCTTTTGTACACTAACTATTCTTGAAAGTCCAGATGTTCAATTTTAAGCTGCTATTCAAAATCTGTTTGATATTTAACTTACTTAAAATCCCCTGAACAGTCCCAAAGTTCAACCTCGCATGTTTTGTTGTCACCACTGCCTTCAGGTTGTGATTCAAATTCCAGTATCCTTGAAACAGAATGAAACCATTGCATGTGGTTTTTGTAACATGAGTAAATCATACCAAGTTGGCATAGAACTAATTGTGTAATAGAGGTAAAAGCAGTGAATAGAGGTTAAAAAAGTCAAACAGCAGTGAAGTTGGCATAGGGTACCTGACTCCTTGAGTGGGTCTGTATTCACCCCCCACATTTTCTGTTGTGTCCGAGAGGAAATTTGCAAGAATTGTTTTCCCACTCTGAAAGACATACATGATTTTAACAGCCACATCACCTACAATGCCTTGAAGGCTAGCACTTGAATTTAAGCAGAGCTGAAAGGAAGCAAAGTATATTCATTCAACTACTGTACAACATTGAGGTGCATTTTTGCACCCTTATACTTTTACTTAACCTCACAACATTTCAGAGGGAATTACTGTAGTTTACCCCACTATATTTGTATCTTTAACTGGTACCTAAAGCTTTTAAATATATATAGTGCAGTATAAAGTTCAATATTTGTCACTGAAATGTATTGGAGTATGAAGTGGCATGCAAGAAAATACTTAATGTACATACAATTTGTACTTGAATAGTCTAAATGTAGTTCCTTTGCACCCCTGGTTTGTTTTGAATAAATCGATTTTCATTTCAGGTGTATTATTTTATAATGGCAACAGCAATTCAACGTGCACTTTCCCTTGTACGCTGAGAGATTTTAAAATGTTTTCCTCTGCTCAGAGATGGACACCCAACTGCCTCCGTTTGTGACCAACATACGATGGGTTGAGTAACCCACGCTTAACACATAAAAATTGTCCTATAGTACTTTCATTGTTAAGATTACTGTCTATTTATCAACATCTGACAGTAAAAACTGCTTAAGCCGCTGTGCCAGAAAGGCATTTACTTACCTCACTGGGACCAATAAAGAGTATTTTTGCTTTGAACATTTCCACTCAGAGGGAGCCCAGTATTAGCTATTCAGCTAACTTTGACGGGGGGAGCTCTTGTCAGTACCAAGCGGTGCCACAAAAAAACTAGTTTAAAAAGAGTAAGTTTTATATGTGAACAGCAGTATGCTGGGTTTCGGGTTTCACACAATGAAAACAGCAAAATGTTAATGGTCTTTCTAAAATGATATTACCCGAGCATGGTTTGAGATACCACTAAACTTCCTTCTCGTTTCTATGGTTTCAACCAGTCTCTTTGTTTTCCCTTGTTCATTGGTTGATCGTAACTTTATTCAAAAGTATTCCCGCCCACTTTGCCCTCAGGGAACAAATCAATAGCGAGAAAAAAAGCGCATGTCAATACGTCTGTTCTGAACTAGCCAATCCGGTTTGACCTTTTAAGAGGGGGGGCTCTTCAGTTCGGAGTAGTCACAGTCGATTAAAAGGGAACATGTAAGTGACCTAATATTTACGTTTTCGGTGGCATTGTTTTGCAAGAAATTGCCAGGTTTTAGTTCTAATAGCAATGTTGTGGGTTTAATTGCTTTCGCTTGGTAAGATTAACAGAAGGCCTAGTGTCTTTAGTGTAACGTAAAGCTTACAGCCACTTAAAGTGGTCCTTTTGACTGTGTTGCTATGGAGTAAGCTCAGTTAGCCTGCTTGACAACATGGTCTGTTATTCCTAATGTGCATACTATAGTATGTTATGCAGTGTAGCTAAGTTCTTTTTAATAGACGTGCTATTGTGAGCCAACTTCGTGTCTTCTTCTTTAATACTAACTTATACTGTACTGTATGTTGTTTTGTCAACAGCAAGAGGTAACCTTAGCCTATGTCTCCAGAGGATGAACACCAAAGTCCCCCCCTTGGTTTCAGCTCCACCCGGGAGGATGTAGATGGCTCCCAAGAGGCAGGGAGGAGGAGCAGGGCACGCAGCAGTCTTCACACAAGAACCCCAGAAGCTGATATCAGTTGGTGAGGGCCTATAATATATGAACACTTAAATATACAGCCTCATATGTGAGGCCTAACAGCCACAGCCTAGCTAATATCAAGAATTTCTTGCCTTCATGTTTCCCATTTAGTCCTGAAGACTTTGCTGATGGAAAGAGTCCTTTCCTGAAAACTCTGATGGATGCAGAAGCTGCTGCCAATTCTGCAACTATACAACTCATGTCTTTTAAAGATACCATGGAAGATCCAGTTGCTGTATGTTCATTACAATTTAGCATGAAACAGGTTCAAACATGGGCCTTCCATGTGGGAAACCACAATGGTTCACCTACATTAAATATGCAGATTAACATCCCTTACCTAGTATTGAATTTTTTTCTGCCAATAAAGGATTCGAGGCTGTCAGCCATAGATAAGCGCCGAATTAGAAGACAAAGAGGACTTTTGCTGGAGAAGTTGGAGGATTTTAAGAGGATAAATAAGTCTCTTCGGCATAAATTGAAACAGCTTCAGGAAACAGAGGTTGGTGACACTACTCCTATCTTTTATGTTTCTCAGGATAGCGATTCAACGGTCTGTACACAGCAGTATTGTAGTTACTTTAAATTCATAACACACATGAAACATTTGTTGAAAAGGTGTGGGGATTTTTGCATCAGCCTGTTCTAAATAACCAAGGTCTTTCCATGTAGGTTCATCGAATTGATGCAAAGCGACAGACTGGCATCTTACTGAAGAAGATCACAAAGGCTGAAAATGAAAATGAGGTTAGTGTCTCATTAAGTTTAAACAGTGTTCCAGACAAAATAAGTTTATTTAAATGTAAGCTTTGTGTGTAAGTTGTGACAACATGGTTGAATATTTAGCTTGGAAAAAGGGTTCATCTGCTTATGTGAGGCTAATGGCTTATATACTGCAGTGTTTTGGATTGTTCAATTAGTAAGACTTGATCAAATTAGTGTCAAGGGCTATAGGGAAAAATGTAGGCACATTTGGCACTAAATTAATTCACTATCTGAATGATATGACGTGAAGGCATCTTTTGTATGAGACTGAATGTCCTTTAAGAAAAAACTATTTATTGTATAAGAATTCTAATATAACACAAATTCCAGTCTTAAATGTTGTTTTAATTGATGTCATTTTTCTACTCAAGCATTTAAGAAGAGATTTGTGTGAGGCAGAAAGAAGAGCTGAGGAACTAATGGCCCTGCGGAGAGAGGAGCAGGTAAGCACAATAGTCGTCATCATTGCAGACTGTAACAACACAAAGGGTGCAGAGTGCATTTTATATTGCCTGTCTCTAACGGTCTTCACAGGAGAACAGAAAGACTGCAGTTCACTTGACCAAGTCTGTGGAGGCAACTCGAGCTCACCTGCAGGGGCAGCTGCGCAACAAGGAAGCTGAAAACAACCGTCTGACTGTACAGCTACGGGTATGCACCTGAGCGCCTTATCAGCCAACGCTGCTCCAGACAAATTGCTTTCAAGAAATTGTGTAATTTACTAACATAGACTTGTGGGTTCATGGTGTCTTCCAGACTCTGGAGAGAACCCTGACTCAGCAGAATATGGAGATTGATGATCTGAAAGATTCCATCGCCTCTTTGAATGATAAGGCAGCAAGGGACAAAGAATCTCTCAAGAAAGCCACACGAGCACAGAAACAGAGAGCTGAGAGGTTTGAAGCTGCCATCGAGAAATGCTACGCACAGTTGAGGGAAAAGGTATGAAGTCAAAATAATGAGGATTTTTTTTTACAGTTCTCTTGCACATATGCAAACAAAACCTACATAGTTAAGTGTTGTGCTGTTGATCACACAAAAAAATTGTTTCTTGATTGGAATAAAGGATGCTCAGTTGGCCAAAGCCCACTTGGAAAGAGACTCCAGGAGACAGCAAAAGGAGCAGGTGACAGATGAGAAAGGCAAGCTTGTGGCTCATATAGAGTTATTGAAAAGGTTGGTCAATTCTCCATTACACACACATCACCTCTTCTAGTATTAGGAATTGATACAGACATGTGGCAGCAGTGAACAATTTTCATTGACGAATGATAAATGATGAATGTGCATGTTCAATGAAGTCAAATAGCAGATATGACAGGGAGACTGCAGAAGGAGACAGATTACTTCGGTACAGCCAATGAAGCTGTGATGCAACGAGTTGAAAAACTCAGCACTGAAAACAGAGACCTCAGGATCAATAATGCAGCACTCAAGGTACAAGATCCCAACAGCTTGCATGTGGTCATCATTACTGTAAAAGGCCGACAAATGTCCATAAATATTTACAGCCATTTAATATGAAGTTTAATGGTCATTCTGCAGAACAGTTAAACCTACTGCCAATCTATAATCTTGCTTGGCCTAATTCTTGATGGAGCCACATGTATTAAACCACCTTTATGTTCAAGAATAGAAAAAGTGTTTTACCTCATTGACTGTTATTTCTATCACTGAAGTGATTTTTTTATGTTTGTGTGATTGCAGGCATCTGTTGCTCAACTGGAGCAGCAGCTGGCTGAGTGCGACTCAGCTCTGGTAGAGGAGAAGGTTGTGTCTCAGGAGGGGAAACGTCAAGCCGAGCGGTGCCAATATCAGGTAGACATTACTAATTTATTATTATGAACATAGTGATTATATCAGCTCATTCTGACCAGCCTTTTATTTGCAGTTCACAGTAACAATGAATGTGGTCTTTCAAGATTGCTAGTACTAGTTTTGTAGCTTTCAGCTGTGGGGAAGGATGCTGCAGGTTTGATTATAATGTTCTGTAACTTTTTTCTAGGTTGCAGAGCTTCAAGCTGAGATAGATGATTTGAGGATAAAATATGGAAAAATTTTAAGGGAGACAGAGAAAACACAAGATGGAAAACATACAGAAGTTGAGAAGGTAACCCCCTGCCTTTTTATATAATAGGTTTTCTTATATTTTATGAAAGTTTTGAACTCTTGTAATGTGCACAAATTAATAATGAATGATTGATTGCCAGCAGGCAAGAATCTTTTATAACAAGTTCTAACAGTGTTGTTGCACTTGTTCCAGTATGTACAGCTCTGGACCACCAATGGTTCTTGCTGCTGTTGAATGGCCACTCAGTGTGCTGCTAGATTTTTCTATTGTTTTATCAGTTGCATAAGATGTTTTGCACCTGGACTTGCATATGTTTTTAACAAATGACCTTTCAGTAATTCTAGACAGCAAAATATTTCAACTAAATAGGAAACATGGTATATGTTGCTTGCTTAAAGGATTACATGCATCTGTGAGAAGTCACGGTCTACTCTGACAGGTATGATGGATCTTTAGTCTAATATACTGTCTATTCCCAACACCGCACCCCTTCTGTCATCCTCCTCTGGAGCCCAGGTGAGGCAGGAGCTGCAGGTGCGTGTGGACAATCTGAATGCTTACCCTGAGTTACTGAGTGCTACAGAGCAGAGCCTTTTCGAGTGCCGGGAGAGGCTGCGATGCTCGGAGAGGAAGTGCTCAGAAAAGTCAGAGTCCATTAGGCAACTGCAGGTCAAGGTGTGCAACACAAGCTATTGCAGTCAATGTAAAATATAGCTGTTGCCCTACACGTGACCACTAGGTGGTAGTAGAACCCCATCTACTGCTGTTTGCAGAGGAGCAATTTAGGTTGCAAGCATTTGTACCTAAATACACATTTGGAGTGTTTTGTGCTCTGTGACTCCTTGTCACTTACCCATGTGTGTTTCTATCAACGGTGTTTAATACACATTTGGAGTGTTTTGTGCTCTGTGACTCCTTGTCAGTTACCCATGTGTGTTTCTATCAACGGTGTTTAATACACATTTGGAGTGTTTTGTGCTCTGTGACTCCTTGTCACTTACCCATGTGTGTTTCTATCAACGGTGTTTAATTGATATTTTGAAAACTGCCTGTTCTATGTTTACAAGATTGTGGCAAAATGGGCTGTCATTTTATCCAGTTGTGCATGTGATATGAGGTCTTTTTTCTGTTCCAATGCAAGTTTTTCATTTCACTTATACAGATGGAGAGTCAGACAAAATTGCTGAGATCATCTGTGGAGATGAAAGAGTCCATTCATGAAGCCAATATACAATTACAACAAAAACTGAATTCTCTTCAAAAGTAAGATATCTGTCTTGTTCCTTTTTTAAATGTGAAATGTTTGCGTTTCCAAACAGAAATAGTTTAAGCCTTTCCTTTCTTGCTGTGCTTTTCTTAACATGTGTGTTTGTAGGCAGATTGATGAACTGCAGCAGGAGAACCTGGAGCTCATACGGAGACTCGCCGCTCAGGAGGAAGCTCTGAGCTACAGTAAGAAGCAGCTGGATCAACGCTCGTCAGAGTGTCAGGCCCTCAGCCGGCAGCTGGAGGCAGCTTTATCAGATGTCAAACAACAGGTACGGCTCAGAGACTGCCTAGTCGTGTTTCAGTAAGACGTGCTCAGTGAAAGAGATTTGAGTATTAAAGCTAAACGCGGCCGCCACTAAACGACAGCATCTGAGAAAGCATTGGCTCTTTTGGGCTTCATTAGTGTGCAGCTGTCTCGCAGAGCTGTGGCCCGTGATTGGTTAAATGTCATCTTTACACCTTAACTGTTAGTATTAGAAGCACACACATTGGTTTAGAGGTAAAATGATCGAGGTCTTCAGTTGTTGATATTACAGGTGTTTTCAGATCTGGCATATAGCAAGTGAAATGTTTCACATTGTCAGATCTTTTTAATGTTATTTAAGAGTGTCCGTTTTTCCACTTGCCCAGGTCAACAAGGTGAAAGACCAGGCTTGTTCCAGAGAGGAGGCCCTTCAGACCAAAGTCCTGGAGCTGGAAGCTGAAAAAAGTAGAAGGAATGAGGAGCTGCGGGTTCTTCGCCAGAGCAAGCTCACTGTGAGTATTTAGTATTTCTAAAACATACAAAGCAAATGAGCCACATGTAGCATACATGCTCAGATTTTACTGAATTCAGCCTTGCAAGCTGAAATATGTCACCTATCTCAATCTGTAGACAGAGAAACGGTTTGAGGCACGTCTGAAGGATCTGCAGCTCAGCCTGGACCAGTCCGAGAGCCATAAACAAAGCATTCAGAACTATGTGGATTTTCTGAAAAACTCTTATAGGGCAATGTTCGATGAGGGACTGCAAACATCAGGTTTTGGATCTTCGTATTTTCTAAAATGATTAGATTCATTTGTTTACAGAAGAGGATTGGGACCACTGTAAAAAGTGTATTTGTGTTCTGATCTCAGAATTCTGACTTTAAACGTCTTTTAAAAAGGTCAGAATTCTGAGAGGAAAAAAGAACTATAGCATTTTTACAAATGCCCTAACCCTCTTCCATATTTGTTTACAATTTCAAATTTGTATTAATTTATTTGTTATTATAATCTTGTGTGGTATTTATGAAACCCAGTTAAAAGAAGAGAACATGGGCAAGAATTTTTGAATCACTTTAGAAGACATAAAAGCTTATTTTTGATTATTTTGGGTTACCTTTGATTATGTATTCTACATTTAGCTCACACGCTGACTTTTTTCCTCAGATATGAAAATCTGCTGTTGTGAGAGGTTTTTATACCGGTGTTTAGAGACATCACATAATGTTTTCACATGTTTATGCAAATTTTGGACTGTGAATTCTTGGTGCTCCTGTCTTACTTTTCTACTGTTCCAACCAGGGAAAATAATGTCTCTAGGTAGAACTCTTGTTTACCTACAGTCTATGCATTTGGTTCTCTGTCTCACTTCACTACTAAATAAGGTCTGTGCAACACAAAGTGTAAGACCAGGTCTGCTGTTGAGTTTAAACTTGTTGGTCTGTTTTGTTTGTGTAATTTGAAGCCATTTATACAATTGCAGTGATTATGAAAGCACTTGTTAATGAATCCTAAAGGTGCTACAAAACCAATTATTATGCAAGTGCATATGATCCAGTCACGTTTACCTGTGGCAGATGCTCTACCCTGACACATCTAACAGAAAGTCAGAGCCCTGACACAAAAGTGCTCAACTAGCTTGTGTGTGTCATATTTGTAGCCATCATAGGGTGTGTGTTGAATGTGTTTATATGTTCTGACTCTCAGCTAGGCTGAGATGAATTAGGATGAAAATCAGTTGTGTAGCTGTCACTTGTGATGTCTGGGCCTTTAGGGTTGCAAATATAATTACTGAGATACATGTAACACTGGGATGTTTCCAAACCGCTGGTTTGCTTTCATGCTTTTGTAATGGAAGCTTTCATATTACTGAGACTTATGGGCACAGAAAGATGCACAGGTATCTGCTGCAGCATGATTTACCTAGTTACCTTAAAATCTGGCTTCTTGTCTTGTGCTATAGTTTGGTCTTGTTGTTCTCCTATTGTTGCTTCATTTTCTGTCCCATACTGCATCTGTGGTAATAAAACAGAGCCAAGAGCGTTGTAAAATTCTTATGTGTCTTTGCAGCAGACATATTTGGATGTATTCCCCCGAGCGAGCGGTGCTCTTCTCAGTTTCTGAGAAACAGAGCTCTATTGTGTTCTCTGTCAGGGGATGGAACCGTTTCACCTTTGTGCACGTCAGCACCTGTCTTTGCTCTTGTTCGCAGTCTGCTGATCTTGGCCGTGTATGTAATACTGTTGATCATACCTTGGGAATTTGCTTTTCTCTGCTGCTTTCTTGAAGCTAAGGTTACATCTGACTTCTGGCAAATTGGTATCACAGCACAGCAACATTATGAACATACCCTGTGCTTTACAGTCTGTGCTCATTAGGATCAAATGAGTTGGATGACTCATTTGTCTTTTTTGTTTTTATGAGTTTTATTCTGGCGAGCCATTTAGCAAAAACAAACATACATCACTTTTGTAAACATTAATACTTAACAGTAATATTTCAACATTTTACAAAAAGAGTATAGAAACCGATGTCAAACCAATATTATTGTACACTATTCCATGATAAATATATGACCACGTTAAGTGAAGTATGAAACATGAATCCTAAATAAAATGGAAAAATGACATCAACAGAAACATGACACACAGTACTGTGTAAGGACTTATTTTGTAGCTGCCATAATTTCTATTATGTGACTTGTCAAGAGCGACTTTATGTTCAGTGTGTCAATAAAAGCAAACACGTTTTTGGTGTACCTAAAACAAAAAGAATTCTCCCAAAACTTCACAAAGAAGCAAACCACCAGGCTCCAGTGTTGTAAAGCAAGATCATCCACAATATGTCACTAAATCATCTACATGCATTTACACACAGTGCAATTTGTTTCAGTCAAACACTTAATGGGTCCTTTCCACTTAAACTTACCTTTCCTTTACATTTTCACTGTGTATATCATTAAAAAGTCCGTAGAGGGCAGGTGACTTTTCATTGCCACCTGAGGAGTTGTGGTTACATTTGCAAGACTTGATCATCATCAGCATCCTGGTGATGATTTCTCCATTTTTGCACTGGAAGCGGACACGTATTGTCCAGGTCCGATGGGGCCTGCAGCATCGCCCATCTGAGCGGCACCCACAGTATATGGGCTGGAATTTCTTCAGGCTACGGCAACCTGAGTAGGACATTTTAACTGGACAGCTTGTCTTTTCTGTGTGGTTACAGTTTTGCTGTTTCTATTAGAAAGAAGACACAAAAAGCATGCGCTAAACCTACAATTCATGGATAAGACTGTATTCCACAAAGTATGTTAACAGGCCAAAATGTAGTGAAATAATACAAATGGATCTTTCTATAAAATAAGCTAAAAATCATCACATAAAATGTGGAGTATACCATCAATTTGCTGAAGGTCATTTGGTTGCATGTGCGGACTTTACAGAGCCGAGTCTCTCTCACCAGTTTACACTGGGTGTTCCTGTTGGTTGTCCTTGAGGACACTCCAGTACCACAGGATTTGGAGCAGGGAGACCAGGCTGTGGTCTGTGACACACACACGACTCCTTTGGCAACCATGTGGCCCATTGGATGACTCCTGAAAGCTGGACAGAGGGGGAAAAGAAGTTAAATGTACAGATGACAGAACTGACAAAGGATAAATGAAAAGTTACAGTACCACATGCATATTTGCTATGCTTTTAATTTCACATACATGTCTCTCTCTTAGGCACTTGAACAGTATTTCTCCAGAAAGGACATACACAACTGCTCACCGGGTAAAGACTTTGATTTCCCTCTCCACACAGGAGCCAACTCATTTGTGTTACTGAGGTCATCTTCTCTGTCACTGCTGTGCTTTTTTCTGTTCTTTTCCACTGAGCTTTCTTTCTTTGCATCCTTAGAGTAGGCAAGTTGTTTACAGCACCATCCTTGTACTTTTACCTCCCCGGGCTTGGCCCAACCCAGTCTGAGCAGCGAGAGCTCACTTGGGCACAGAGAGACGCATCCAACAACACCATCTACACAAGTGCACTGGTGTTTGCAGTTGGGACGGAAGATTTCCCCATTCTGGTAAATCTTACTGTTGTACTCACACGTTCTTCCAGCTGATTTAGCTGTTTTAGAAAAAAAGGGAAAGTAGTAAGGATTAAAATGGGGTGTGTAAAGAGTAGACCAAATTCATAAAAAGCTGAGAAGAAAACAGAAGTCATTGTACCTCGACAGACACCCTTGGCAGAACCACCTCCTAAGTTGCACTCCAGTCCTTTTGTGTGGTCACATGGCTGTGTTTTGCTGCAGTCTTCAAAGAGCTGTTGAGCACATACTTTACAGCATCCACAGCTATCCAGAATGAGACTGACCCCTGCTGCACATTTTGGGACTTCACGTGGACACTGGCAGTTCGCTAGACATGAGGCCGACACCTGAGGTAAGTCACAACATCCAGTATTTCTAATCAAATCAGATCATCTTCTAACTGCTAAACAAGCAACTCATGAATGAGCAGTGATGATTTCCTCACCAGCGTAACACAGAGGATCACAATAAAAAAGACTTTCCACATCTTCAGAGAAGTGACCTATTCTGAGTAAATAATATTCTTCAGACCTGGCAGTGAGTTGATGAGTGCTTGCTCATTCCCTTTTATACGCTCTGAGCAGATCTGAGCTGTGCGTGGGCTGAAAAGGTGTTTCACAACTATGAGTGGAATGCTTTTCTGTGTGTCCTTTCATAAGCCCATAAGAGATCCCCCCCCCTCTTCTCCTCTTTTTCACTGAGCCTGTTCAGCATCCATTTTCCAGGGCACACATAAACTATAACAGAATCTATACGTCTATTTACTTTTACTGAATTACGTTAGATTGTAGAGGCGTACTTAATAAAGTAGTCACTGTGTGGATGCTAACATCTGATACCTTCTATTATAAAATACATTTTAATTGGACTTTGCCCGGTTAATATAGAAAACAGATTAAAAGACGGGCATTGTTAACATAGCAGATGATTATATAAAAGACAAAAAATACCTAAAATTTTCATTATCAGCCCTATGTATGTGAGATCAACCCCACAAGGGATTCGACAACACAAATTCTGACAAACACTGAAGAGAAGCTACATTCTCTGACCTTGATTTCTACAGTATCTCAGATGAAACAATGTTTAGACTGTTACATGTTGTCTGCAACCAGTGTTTATATTTTATAACCTTGGTAGTGTTAAAAATCACTAAACCCCTGACAGTCACCTCTTTGAGTGTTGATGGATTAGAGTTTGTTTGACTTTTGTATTTCAAAAAGAAGTCGGGAGCCTCCTGGAATATTTAAATCTCAAGAACACTTTGTTTAGTTTGAATGAGAGTGCCCAGAATGAGAAACACACCAGAAAAAGCAAGTAGAAAGAAAAGAAAACCTGAGTAATGCCTGGAGCAACATTCCTGTAAGAGTGAACATTGCCAGTTTCTTTATAACAGCAGCCAGGAATAAAAGAATCTTCTTCTGTCCACATCAAAAAACTATTAACATCATCAAGGGAAAAAAAAACAATCATCCTTTCATTATAACTTGTGGCAAACTAACCTATTTGATAATGTTACAGCCAACCAGCTCTTTATGTTCTTGAAACCAGTTGACACATATCCATTAGTCACGCATAGCACCTCTAAATATTTTCATGAGAGATGTTATGCAACACATAATCACCTATTGTGTGAGATGATCAAGAATCCTATCAGGGAGACAAGGTTTTTTATTTAACCCACTTATATAATTTGATAATTGATACTGTGCCACACCTAGCCAAAATAAATCAGTCCATAGTTTTAGTTAATCACTTGTCAGTATTGGGCCTTGGGGGTGACATGGAGGTCTGTCCAATGGGAGAGGTAGGTAGACAGATGTTGTGGTAGACTGGAGGAAAGAATTCAAGCATAAAGAATCATTTTGTGATAATGTAAAAATTCATGCTAAAATACAAATGCATAGAAGAGAAATAAAAAATGTTTGTGTGGCAGAAATACTGTACCTCCCCAGTGGTACTCAGAATAAAACTATAATGGGTCTGAATCAGGCTTGTTTTGGCTGTTATGTAAGATTGGGTCATACGCTGTGCCGCTGACAGGGATTTCCATAAAGAGGATGCACAGGTATGACTGCATACCTAGAAATTACGAGTCAGTTCACTGGGTTTGTGTGAATGTCTCATCGCTGACACAGCACTATTTCTAGGCTACTGCACAACAAGCCTGACAATAACTTCCTTGGGGAGCACCCATCATCAAACAGATTGTGCTGTATCATGAGTTGAGGGAAGTGAGAATCTTGATTCCATGTGTTTTTCCATTATGCAATTCATTTCAAATTTACTGAAGTGTTATTTTGGTTCTTGTCGTGCAATCGACTGTTTAGTCACACACACACACACACACATGGTACAGTCATTACTGAAAGGTTAAATAGTCAGTTCTTTATTTTACATAAAGAACTTATACATGCAGCTGCTGAAGCCATTTTGTAATGGAATCAGTAGGACAACATCTGAGGCTACTGCCTGTGACTTTGATACATTAAGTGTTGAGTGGTGTAATGGAGTTTTTCTATAGCGTTATATTGGAACCGTTACTTAAATCTGAATACTTCTTCCACAACGGAACAAAAGACAGCTGTAATCAGATACATGTTTTCTTGTGCGATCAGATCTATAATATACGGTGAGATACAGTACAGACCTACATATCAGGATAACTGTATGAAGGTTCAACAGCTCCACCCAGTGGACGTTATCGGAACAGCACTTTTACCTGTGTCGACAACGTATCACTGTTGATATCTATGCGAGAGTAGTTGGACAACTGTAAACTAATCTGTTATCGCGACAGAAGTGTCGCTATGTAATATACACTTTTTGTTTACAGATACGTATAGCTAGATAAGTTAATTATTAGTGGGAAACTGACGACTCTACCGCCTCTACTTCTCTCTCGTGTCGACGTAAACCTCGCCACAATCAGGAAGTCCGGGGATTTTGTTTTCGGTTTGTGAAACTTAAATGGTCAGAGATACACCATCTGTTAACGACTGATAATGAAGACCCACGTTGATTAACACTTAAAGTAAATTTATGTATATAGTGTATTTCATTATAGCAACATTAATAACTTATTTTAACCGTGATTCGTTGGATTTTGACTTTGCGAGTGTGAGGGATGGATGTTCCTCATCTCACTGAAGATGAAATGGCAGAGATTAAAAAAGACGTGAGTATTATAATTCAGCTAAATCTGGTTTCAAAATGAATAAGATTTCTTTTAGGTTAAGGCAGGGTATGCGGAAATATACAGATTCATTTCACTGCTGATGTTTGGCATTAAAGGCCTGTTAAAGGAGGAACTGCACCATCATGAAACCCCCAGTCCTCTATAAGATTTGACAGCAGTACAGTGTTGAACAACACCGGCTGGAGCTTAAGATCTCTTGTAAATAAACACAGTCTGTCTTGTCAAAAGTCATCCCAGAGCTGAATAAGGTAGAGCAGAAACAGGTTTTCATGTCAGACCAAATTATACAAGTAATTTCTCCACCTGCTGTAGACTTTCATCCCCATTCTCTAGTCTTTGGTTTGGGCCCCTGTCCCTATGTAAAGAGCCAAAGATCTTCTATTCATGGTCATGGCTTCTCAATTTCTTCTCCTTTTCCCTCTCCTACATGGCTGCTGTGGATTTCCAGGTGCTGACTAGAATGCGTCACTATCTCTGTAACACAATCCGAGCCGAACGTCACCTCGACTACCTGAGATCTCGCAGGATCCTGACACGGGACGATGCAGAGGAGATCAGCTGCAGGACCACACAGACAAAGAGGGCTGCTATGTTGTTGGACATCCTGGCTGAGAACCCCCGCGGCCTGGATGTTTTGATTGACTCCATAAGGGAGATGCGCTCACAAAACTTTATCATCACCAAGATCACAGACGAGGTGCAAAAGGCCAAAAATGAGAAGATCGAGTCCCTCAGAGGTCAAAGGGCCAAGTCACAAAGACATTTCTTGTGTATATGCATAGCTTCTTCTTGTTGCTTTAATTCAAAATTCATTCCTGTTTGTTCTCTCTTCATCTGTCACTCCACAGTAGGAGCTGCCAGTTCTTCATCTGAAAGCAACCAAAGCTCTCCAAGCTCAACCATCGACCTCCCCACGGCATTTTCAAATAACTCCACCCTGCTCTTCCATCCAGACGGAGAACGAAGCCCTTCCACTTCAGACATAGCAGGCTCACTCAATCTGCCATCATTACAGAAAGGTGGCGACTCGCCTTCCACAGCTGGTGTTAGCTTCTCCACAGCTTCCTCCAGCCTCCCAAGGCCTGGAGAACCAGGAGCTCCTCCGCTGCCAGATGAGATGATGATGGAAGCCTCCTCCAACATAGATGCTGCAGCGCAGGGGTGCACCAGCAGTGGAGGGGACCCAAACTTCCAGCCTCTTCGGTCGCGCTCGCTCACTCCAACATCACACAGGAGCCTTGTTTAACTTTACATCCATATAAGACAGTTCTCACACAGGGCCAAACTGGCATGATTCCTCAACCACTTCCCGCATATATAAACACTCTCTAGCCTCTTTTTGGTGTTGCTATTGCCTTTGATCAGGCAGTTTGTGAAAAATAGCTGTAAATGAGATATACTACACGTTAGCACTATACTACTGTCTTTTTAGAGACAATATAGGAACATTTTATCACTAGGGTGGAGTCATGTTTAAAGCTTTTTGATAATGGTGCCAACTTCCTACCTTAGTTTTGGTATGATGCCAAAATATGACAAATGTTATGTGTTTACTAGTGCAAATGTATGGAAACTGTGCCTGAATAAAATACAATATATATGACTGATTATATATTGATTGATTGATTGATTGAGTGATTTAAATCAGAAATTGCCTGATCAAAATGTGTCTGTGAATGAATTTGATGCTTTCAGTAGTTGATAGGTTTTAATAGGCCTGAGATTCAATTCCCAGCCTGATTATGTCATGAGCTAAGAAAATCTGACTCTTCCTCTTTAACGTTTTCTGTCCTTTTCTTTTATCAATACTGTGTGAAAACACGGCAGCTACAGTTTAGGTGTGCGGAGATGATCTGTTATAAACACTGGAATTACTACTTGAGCATAAACAGTATGTATGTGTGTAATGAGCCAGTCTGATGCTGCCTTTATCCAGGACGGTGGAGCTGCAAATGGTGTTTTTCACATCCTTCTATTATGCAGCACTAAGTCAACAAGAAGTTGCTTTACATTTCATCACTACAAAAGTTTGGAATCACAAAATATGTTGTGAAATCCCAAACCATGTCCTGCTTATTACTTAATTCACTGGTCATGTACAATGTCTGCTGCATACTAAAGGGTTTCTATGTGAATTCCACTAGTTTTTTCTTCATTGATGACTGTGTGGTGACTCAATTTACTTTCAGCTGAGATGAGGACAAACTATTAATGAACACCAATGAATCTTGCAGCCTTTGTTTCATTGGTGTTCTGGTTATGTCTGCAAAATAGCATCTGAAGCTCTGGAAAGTTCTTTGCAGTACAGTATTAACTGATAACAACTGACAGACTGCAGAAACACCCACACCAATGATGTAGAATAGTGTGTGCGAAGATGTTGTAACTGGGAGCTCGGGTTTTGTTTTGGAAAAACTGGAAAAGCTTCATATGACACAGATGAGTTATTGCAGTGAAGGGTGGTGACTGCATTGCCTGCTATTCCCAGACAGCAGAGAAGCCCCGACTATTAAACTAGTTACTAGCAGCTCTCTTTTGCACAGCAGGTGTTAGCAGGTAATTCATTTATTATTACCATTATATACTGTATATATTTTTTGCTTTCTCCCCCAAATTTGAAACTGTTACCAATGTAATACACATGCATATTCCAACAAGGGGTTGTAAAAATATTATATAATTATACTACAACACTAGCTACAGTTTAAGAGTTTAATAGAAATATGATAAGCAATTTGCTGCATCAGTAAATGAAGTCTTTATTTGCTGTTTCATTTAAGCCTGGTGTTTGAGACGTGTCTTCTACAACAAGCTATGAATTAGCTAAAATAAAACACGCTGTGGTTTTCTTGGTGCAATTAGTTTGTACTCCTTAACTATTTAAAAACAGGAGAGAATGTTGCAGGAGAACCAGTTTGATAAACATCAGGGTGACTAGAATGGCTGAACTGCTGCCGTGTCTCCAGCACATTTCTGATCTATGTTGGACTTCTAGCAAACAAATTTGATGACAAGCACTGACAAAACTGTCTTTATACAAAGAAAACATAGTGTTCTGCAGCTTGGTATTATGGAGGTCTCAGAACTTCCAGTGGGGTCAGAGGAGAGGAGGTCAAGGTGCCGCTGCAAATGGAGCACTCTGGAGTCGAAGGCGGTGGAGGACTTCAGGCGGAGGCTCAAGTACTTCTTTATGAACCCCTGTGAGAAATACAAAGCCAGGGGGCGCAAACCATGGAAACTGATGTTGCAAATATTAAAAATTGCAATCATCACAACCCAGGTAGGAGATTAAATTAATTTTTCATTAAGCATTAATGTGTACAGAGGCTAGACATCTATTTGTCTCATACATTTTCCCCTTTACCGATCAGTTAATGTCTTTTGGCCTGAGCAATGAAATGATGGTCACCTTCAAAGAAGAAAACCTGATGACATTCAGACAGCTATTTCTCAAAGGACACACAGCCCGCCACCTGGGAAGCTATGCACTGTACACAAAAACAGATGTGTATGATCACATCTACTACGTTATCAACAGGGTACTGAAAATCTAGATTAGGTGCAGTTACCAGTGTATCACTTTTGGAATTTCAAAGGAATTTTTTTTTTTTTTTTATCATTTAGTTTTTTTATAATTACTCTTTTTTTCAGTACATCAATCTCCAAAACCTGACTGTTGGTAATCTTGCATTTGAGAGGGTTAATGGAGAGCGCATTCCGCTGCTGGTCTGTCAAGAGTTTTACAGAAACAGCAGCATTTATCCTGGAAACGAGACCTTTGGCATTGATCCACATATTGAAAAAGGTACAACAATACAAAATTATTGTGTAGTGCTATAAAAATATTAATTTAATCATCCACTGGTTCCACCTTGAATTGTGTACATATTAGAATTTTGTGTGAGTGTGTGTGTAACATATATTTATGGAAGCTGATTCATGGCAAAGATGGAAACTAATGAGGATTTACTTGTGACTGCATGAAAAGAGGAAGTTCATACTGTTCACAGCAGCGTGGTGTAACTGGAGGAATGAATACTGAATGACTTTGCTGAACTAGGAAATAAGGTCTAGTTCTTATGAGCACAGTCTGTATTTCCACCCCACAGATTGTATTTCCATATACCCAGTGCAGTCCCTTAACAACAGCAGTTTGGTGACACACATAAACTTCTCCATAGATTTCCAAAGGTGACTAAACTGAAAATTTTAGTTTCATGTAGAGGTGGTGAAAGTACTGCCTGCTAATTTATGTTTGCGTGTCCAGGCTGCTATCAGTGAACATCTACCTTAATCTGAAAACCATCAATCTGCAGACTGTGAGGCGCCACGAGCTACCAGACTGTTACAACTTCCATATAATGGTTGGTGACAATGTCTGAAAACTGCCACAGCCTGATTTGAGCTTTGAAGATATATTAACAGATAAATGCATAAACAGTTAGAAATACAACATTTGTTTTTACACAGATCATGTTTGACAATCGTGCACACAGTGGAAGAATGAAGGTTTATGTCAGCAATGATGTTACATTCTATGAATGCAGAGACTGGAACATGGAAGGCACTTGTAAGTTTTTATCCAAACTCATACAGTGAGTTCACCAACAAACTAAATACTCCTATCTGAAGCCAGCAGAGGGCACTATGACATCATTCAGCAACCCTTGACACCTAGGTTATACTATATGATCTAACAGTGCATTTGATTTCTCTATTTATGTCTCACCCTTGTAGAATCAGCAACAAAGGCAAATAAACAATTAATTAATGCAACAACTAATCTGAAATCGGTGGCTTTCATTTCTAGCTGGAAAGATCAACTACCCGCTCTTGTTGTTTGATTCTGTCGTCATCCTCGCCTGTTTCACCTCTCTCATCCTCTGCACACGATCTGTCATCAATGGCATCCTACTCCAGTTTGTAAGTTACAGTAAGAGGAACAAATAAATAGATTTTTACCTTCACCACTCATAAATGTACAGGTGTTCATACATTTTGTCTCTATTAGGCAACTGTGTAATTAATACAGTGATAAATTACTAATCAAATCAATGAATCAGCATGAGTGGATCCAGGAGGTGGTGCACTGTTTCTCATTTTTCATTGGTATTAATGAACGACAGATGAAAAACAATCACAAATTGTTGCCTTAAATGCAATTAACATTTTTCTGGTGCTTTATAATTGATATTGATGAAATTATTTCAAATTAAAACTGGTCAAATTTTATATCATGAATGCAGCATGATAGTTGCATTCATTTCTCGAGGTGTGCAGTTGTGTTGTTATGGAGTACTTGATATGATTCACCTCAGTTGGGGACCACTGTGTAGCAGCAATGTCGCTGGCCAGGAGTACTGTAAATAAGGAGCGCAGGCAATATGTTAATTGAATATGTTAATTCCAGTATTGTAGACTTAGTCTCTCAGAATTTGACTACTTTTAAACCAATAACAAATAAAGGAGCCAAAATTATAATTCTAACATTAAGGAGGCTTTAAACACAATTCAGATGGTTATGTTGTGACATAAAGATTTATATTTACAACTAAACAGTTACAAAATAATTAAACTAGACAACTGTTGCATGATCTCAGTATTCTAAAACACTGGCTATGGATCTAAGTAGATAAAACAGATAAAAATTAAATTAAAACTACAAACCTCCCAACATAAAAGTTGCAAAAAGCTATCTAACTGTGTCCAATCTGTCGATTTCTCTTATGCAGGAGTTTAACACATTCTTCCACACCTACTACTATAAAAGAGTAACGTGGTCAGACCGCATGGAGTTTGTGAATGGCTGGTATATCCTTATCATTGTCAGTGACATGTTGACCGTTGTTGGGTCAGCACTCAAAATTGGAATACAAACAAAGGTTTGAGTATTTACTTTCATATATTATTCACTGTAGCAATGTTGAGCTGAGAGTAAAGGGAAACCTGAAAAGCTAGATGGTTTGAGATCAGCATTCATAATTTATAATATTTAAAAAAATCATTAAAGGTCTTTATGATTGTAATATAATTTTAAAAAATTACCCGGCACTTATTATGCAGTTGTTCTTCTCTTTGTTTTGTAGTTCCTGACAAACTATGATGTCTGTAGTATTTTGCTAGGAACAGCCACAATGCTCGTCTGGGTTGGTGTGATTCGTTACCTTGGTTTCTTCAAGAAATACAATGTAAGAAGTTCAATCAGCCAACCTGTTACAAGAATCAAATGCACATCCAAAGGACCTGAAAAATGTTTATTCCTTTCCAGATTCTAATTTTAACCCTGAGGGCAGCGTTCCCAAATGTGGTTCGATTCTGCTGCTGTGCAGCCATGATCTATCTCGGCTACTGCTTCTGTGGTTGGATTGTGCTCGGGCCATACCATGACAAAGTATCATAATTTATTTCAAGCGTCACTGTGGCCTATTAAATTGCCCCATGCATTGAGATGCTATGTGCTAGTACTGGTCACTGATCTCAATTATCACAACATTTTTCCAGTTCCGAACATTTGACAAGGTGACAGAGTGCCTCTTCTCTCTCATCAACGGAGACGACATGTTCGCCACCTTCCTGAAGGTGAAGGGCAAGAGCAACATGGTGTGGTTGTTCAGCAGACTCTACCTCTACTCCTTCATCTCCCTCTTCATCTACATGGTGCTCAGCTTGTTCATTGTTCTCATTACTGACACCTATGAGACCATCAAGGTCAGTCTGAGTTACCTGTGTTCACATACTGAGAAATAATCTTAGATCTTGTTGAAGAGAGATGTTTCCAGACTCTAGGTTTTATTTATCTTTGCACTTTATTGCCCTGATGAGTGTACACTGATTTTTTTCCTGCATCAACAGCAAGATAAGATGCCAGTGTCCCAGCTTCAGGCCTTTATAGCCAAGTGCAGGGACCAGCCTGAGTCTGGAAGATACCAGATTGAGGAAGATTCAGTGTCCTGCTGCTTTGGATGACGTGGATGGGTGGGCCAAGAGTTGGCATCTTTCTCAATTGGAAGTTTTTACATAATTCATTTTATTGCCATGTATTCTATATGTAAATAAATTAATATTTGGTTGTCTTTATGATTTTATATTTGTGTGTTTGTACTGCTTATGTTTATATTGCTCCTTTTTTAACCATAAAAAAGGTATTGTACCCAACAGTGACTCAAAGGTCTACAAAAACATTTATTTTACCATAGCGTGCTCCAGTAATAATTAGTCAAAAATATGTTGTTTATAATGCAGTGGTGGAAGAAATATGGTGCTGTGTTAATTAAGTAAAAGTAGCAATACTACCCTGTGGAAAAAATACTGTACCTCAAAAAAGTCCTGAATTCAAACTCTATGTCTTGTCCACAAAATGTAGTTAAACTATCAAAATTAAATGTAACTCCTGTTCACCTATATAATGTTAAGAGGACTGGCCATACAGAGGTGCCATTGCTGTGCTCTGTGACACCTAGCAGCGTTTCTTATTTGCATAATCGTCCACTGAACATGGCCACAGCCAATGTACGACTCAGATACTGGTTGCCTAACAACACCCCGTCCAATAAGAGTGACGCTTGATGCGCAGGTGTCGGAGGAATGGACTAAAAAAAAAAAGGAAAAAAAAAAAGAAAACAGACACACACACTCAGCTACTCCTGCAGGTTGAGTCTGAAGTGCTGGTTGGTCATCTCAGCTTGACTAGTTCAGTAAAACAGCTGAGGTTTTTGCTGACAACGGAACACTGATACGGCAGATGTGTCTGTTTTTGATAGAGGGGCGTTTTGTTCATTTTGCAGTCCAAACCGAACCTGGAAACTGTCGGATTGGGTTGACCCATTTCACGCCGTTCCCGTGAGCATGTTTAACTTAGCATAACGCTAGCTGTTAATAATCCGGGTTAGCAAACAGTATCAAATTACTTTACAGGCATGGAAATAGTGGTTGGGCATTAGCTTGTTTGTAAATCAGGATTGAACAGTTTACAGTAACTAACAATCACTTTACAAACCAGGAATGAACTGTACTTAGTTTAAGTGAGCAAATTGCTTAAAACAAGTTGGTTATTAATTTCACCACCATAATCTTTAATTAAAAACTACGTGCACTAGCGAGATAGCTAACATTAGCGAGCCTTGAAAACGTTAACTACTTAAGCTTTCTGTAACGGTAACCTCGATGTACGTAGCGAGGATAGACAATTTTAATAACATTATCATACAACCTAAAGGGAACACAAAATTCAGCAAAAGCACACTTGACTTTATCACCGCCCGAGTCCGTGTATTTGTAGATAAAAGCTGTATGTTTTCTGGTTGGGTTTGATAAGACCATTCATTGGTGAGAGAGTTTGCTGAGATGCTCATTGTCACGGACAAACAGGCATCTGTGTTGTCTGGTAGTCACCTACATGGTGCACGCAAACATTTGTGATTGTATTACTAAACAAAACAGCGAGATTCCTTCTGGTAATCCACACAATGCACTCGACAACCCCTAAACACAAGTTGGAACATTTCAGTACAGTAAGTTGTAG